ATTATGAATTTTGATGATGAAATAATAGAATAATTTATGTCATTACTTTGTCTACGATGGTAGCAAGAAAATTATTCATTATGTGAATAATGGGGGCATAAAAAATGCTATTGCATTAAAATTTTGTTTGAGAAAATTATTATGCAATTCAAGATTAATTGTCATAATTCTCTCATGATGATAATTTATCATAATTTTCCTCATGATGTTTGAGTTATTTGCCACATATAAATTTTTAATGTGATACTATTGGAAATATTAATAAAAGTATTCCTATTATACAAAAGGTATAATGACGCTTATGAAATATTTTGTAAAAGCATTCCTATTATACAAAAGGTATAATGATGCTTATAGAATATTTGGCAAAAATATTGAGAGAATTGATGGAATTAATGACACTCCTATTGTACAATTAAGGTACAATGATGTTTTGATGATATTATCCGATAAGTGAAATTAGAGACACTCCTATTGTATAATTAAGATACAATGATGTTGTAATGATATTGTCTAATAATACAATTAGTAGTATTTTGAGAAATTTAAATCTCTAGCTAAATATTGACATCCCTATTGTGCGGATGAAATACAATGATGTCAAATTTGTATGAGAAACTAGAGATCAAGAAATATCCATATTCACTTCAAGGTGATTATATTAAATGTTTTCCATTGTATTAAAAATACAATGATGCCATCATACTTTAGCATGGTGATGTTGATGGTGCGAAAAGTAAATAGTATGTTTACTATTTGCTCAAGTACATGTGTGGTGAAACTTAAATTCGCTAAAAAGCCAAAGTCAATAAAAAAACAAGTGGATGCTAGTGAAAAAAACAAGTGGATGTTATGCTTCGTCTAAAGGAAAAAATAGTAAGGATGAAAAATTCCTACCACTTGTCTTAGCACTAATAAATTAATTAAGTGCTAGTTACTTAATCCTTTGGGTGTATATTGAATATTGTGGGAGTAAATCTTTAACTAAAGTCAAAGGATTAGATGATACATCGAGGGAGATGAGACTAAGCCCATAAATGAATAAAATCATCTATGTGGATACTCTACCTAGTGGACCGGAGATCCCAAGGACTAGGTTTAAGGAGAAGAACAAACATATAATGGTTTGATTACATGCACAATTTATTTGAGTTACAATACTCATATGTCTATCCCTATGGTGTAGTGCATGAATCACATAACAAAAGAGAGGTTAAGTTTCTTTAAATGAAAATTTTAATGTGGTTTATAGTTCTTTTTGAATGGGATGTTAGAGTTATGAGAGCATCCCTAATAGACACATCTATATGAGTGAGGAAGTTAGGTCTCTTCCTATGAGAATTGGGCTAATTCTCTAGAATACTCAAAGAAGCCGAGATCAAGCACAAGGTCATTAATGTGCCGGCTCTAAAACTCATTGTAGAATACCTAAATATAATTTATGTGATATAATATTGGTTTCACTTAAAAAGCCTTAGTTCGAGACAATGTTCACTATTGACTTGAGAGAAATGTTGTTAAAACACTAAGTAAGGGTTCAAGCCATTCGCACCGTTATTATGTATTATGTTTGTTTACTTACCCAAAAAATATGGCTTATATTTTATTAAAAAAATAAGTGAGGGATTGTTGAAATATTTTTAAGTAAAATATAAAAAACTACATTTATTGTATTATTTGTTTAAAAAATATATGACTAATATTTTATTAAAAAATAAGTGGGGGATTGTTGGATTATTTTTTAATAAAATACTATACTTATTATTATTAAATAACAATAATAATAAGGTATTCAAGTGCATGGTTAAAGAGGTACATTAAAATGTTATGGTTATAATAGCTATATTTATTTTAATAAATTCACAAACGGTTACATCATTTATGAAAGAAGTTTTTTACCGTTTTTAAAATAATTGGACTTAATGATTGTAATTATTTCTTCCCAAACGGTTTTATTCCTATGGCCTATATATAGGACCTTTCCCTTATGTTATGGATGCTAGAATAAAAAAGAAAAAATATTTAGGAACATTCATATTCTCTTGTTTAGAGAAAAGAGTAGCATTCTTTTAGAAAGAAAAATATTTCTTTCAATTTTCTTGTTTTTTAATTTCCCACTATAAAGTCATATAATCTTTTTGTTTTATCTTTGGGTAAGAGTTGTGCTAATTTTATTGAGAGTTTCAAGTCTTACAAATAATGCAAATTTGTTAAGACACGATAAGGTGGTCGGCCTTGTTGTATCTCCGAGATGGTGTGCAATATATTCTTTATCCGTTGCATAAGATAAATTTTGCGGATGGCGCGTATCATCTCAAGAAAGCAACATGGTTATTCTTGAACCGATTATCTAAAAATTATGATAAAACCATTTTGATGGTTCGATCATCTTTACATCGCGAAATATAATAATATAATTTTAATCATTAATTTTTTTAATGATCAAGGTAAAAAGTTTCAATTCTTTATTTATTTTAATTTACAATAAATTTATTTATTTATTGTGTCAATTTTTATTATTTAATTATGTTCCTTTTGTGTGCTAGGAACAACACTAAACAAATAAAAAATCAAAGCTTGGATAGCAAATCATGAGAAATCAACGATTGACCACCAAAACAGAAAAAAAAATTTTTTAAAGATTGGACACCAAAAAAACATTTCTTTCTTTATATGTTTCTTTTTATATTTTTATTAAGGTGATCGGGTGTTATAATTTTGGATGATAAAATATCTTTATGGATAGATAGTACATAAGTTCCTCGAAGAAAGTACAATTATATATAATCCTTGATGGTATACAAGAATTTTGCGAATAAATACAAACTTCCAAAAGGATAAAATAATTCAATTTGTTATATCTAATAATTCAAAAGGTTAAACGGTTCTAATTCTTTATTTATTTTAATTTACAATATATTTATTTATTTATTATGTCAATTTTTATTATTTAATTATATTCCTTTTGTGTGTTAGGAACAATACTAAACAAATAAAAAATCAAAGCTTGAATAACATATCATGAGAAATCAACGATTGAGTACGAAAACAGAAAAAAAAAATCAAAGATGGTACACCAAAAAAATATTTTTTTCTTTGTTTGTTTCTTTTTATATCTATATTAAGGTGATCGGGTGTTATAATTTTGGATGATAAAAAATCTTTATAGATAGATAGTACATAAGTTCCTCGGAGAAAGTACAATTATATATAATCCTTGATGATATACAAGAATTTTGCGAATAAATACAAACTTCCAAAAGGATAAAATAATTCAATTTGTTATATCTAATAAGTCTTTGAATAGTGTTTAGTTCTTAAATCTATCATTTTGATTAATTTTTTTTACTAAAAATAATTTTTTTAATCAAAACTTTCCTGATTAAAAAAAAAATCAAAAGAAAAAAAAACTTAAAATGACATAATTTGCATGCTTATTTTGAAGACTTTAAAACCTTTTTTTTTTTTTCATTTCAATAAGAAGCATTTCGTTCAAAAAATTTATTTTTAGTCTGAAAAATAATTAAATATTATTCAAAAATATAATAAATATAATTAAAAATATAAGAACACATTAAAACTTCAACTATTATAAAAAGACAGATTAAATTATTTATGCAATATTATCATACTAATAGTTAAATCAAAATAAAATTATACAGATGCGCTTGATTTAAGAACAGTAGCAATTGGTATATCTGAATGGAGAATTCATACTATTAGGTATTTGCCCTTATTAGAGAAAAATCTGGCTCTGCCATTGCGTCCACTAATTAATCAACCATTTCTTTTGGTTCATCGACAACTCCGAATATTTATGATACAAAAAGTAAAATTTGTAATCATAAATACTCAAATTTAATTTTATTAAAAGAAACTTAATGATACACGGGGCTGTTGTTTCTTTCTTGGGGGAGTTAATTACCAAAAAAATATCAATAGAAGAAGACAAACAAACAAACAAAAAAGGAAGAAGAAGAAATATTTGCATTAGACTTCACCTGCATGGATCGGAAGACCGAAAACGATGGAAACAAAATCAAAAATTTAAATATACCAAATTACAATTTTCTCATTGGACAAATTAAAGCAATTAGATAATGCAAGGGCGGCAAAATGAGGACCAACCATTTTCTTTCTCTTTTGCGTTAATTAGTCCTTCTGTTACCATCAAGACATCGACATCCTAAAATCACATCATGGAACCCTTTTTTTCTTGATAAAATAACCAGGGAAGAATATTGGAGGACAATTAATTTATAGAATTATATATTATTAAAAATGATGCTACAGAAATATATTCAGCAACTTTTTACCATAACAAAACAAATACTACTTTTTTCTTAACTCTAAAATTCATATAGTACATGATAATATATATCATTATTATAGCAAACCACCCAATTAAAGGTCATTTTCTCGATTCAGTACTAAGAAATTTTTGTTGCCTATCAGTCTATGATTGAAAATGCGATGCAAGCATTACCTCAGCTCATTATGCCAAACTTCAACCCTATACATACCAATAATTGAAGCAATGAAATTGAAAAGACAATTAATCATAGACGAATTTGGAAAATCAATGAATTCAACTAATTAATCACCCTTGAGTATGATCATAAGATATTCATTAAACGAAGAATGAATAACAAATATTCAACTAAATGGATTTGTATTAACAGTCAGTATTTGATTAGGATATAGCTATCTTAAATCATGAACAGTAAGTGTTGTGCCTGATCAATCATTTAGTCTACTCTAGCTAATCATGGAATCGTTTGGCACACTTAAAAGACCAGCTTAATGCATTCATTAATCCTGAATTCATTTCAAGCAAGAGATGATTGATGGATCTATCGCCCCATATAATTTTTAATGCTCAAACGACACTAAAGTAATTAATTAGCATGATCATGAACAACCGCTATCAATTGGTGTACGTGTACAGATGTTTATGCCTTAAGCCATGGACAGGTTTTGGTGTATATGAAAAGCAGCAGCTAGACAGTAGCACAAGAGGTACAATTACAGGTCTTAGGTACAAAAGCACAAACCCCGTAAGGCTTGTTGGGAAGTTGGCAATCGATGCCGAAGCAGCAAGGCATGGTGGCACAGTTGGTGGTTGCCGCCCCAGCACAACACTTGCATAGCAAGCACAGCTGGAAAGGTGCTAGTCTTCTTCTCCACAAATCATCATCATCACGATCATCTCCCTTTCTTCCAATTAGCCTGTACTCGGTTGGCTCTACAGGCCGGAATTCTCCGGCTGTTGATGATGGGTTTACTGGAGATGGCTCAACTGCATAGTAGTTACTGTGAAACATTAACTCCAGGTCATTAGTGAGTCAAAATAAAGATTGAAAACCTTGCCCAGAAATCAACTTACCAGGACTGATGATCGACTGGCCAGGGATAAACAAAAATATTACTAATACTACTAGTTTCAAGGAGTGATTCATCTCAATAATATTGCGTACGGGGGACAGGCCAGAATGCTTGCACGCTGCTGCACATGTGCATACGTAGATGGAGAGACGGTGAGAAAAGAGTTAAAATCAGGGAATCAAATATTGTGTGGTGCAGGGGTATGGAGAGGAGTTGGTGGGTCGATGAATGGATTTTTTTTTTTTTTTTTTTGTGGCTATTATACGGTATCATGCACAGCCAGCGATGGAGACAAAAGAGGTTTAGCCGTTAAATAGTTTTGGAAGCTTAATTCGATAATGTAGAGTTGTTGGCACGGGCCATTTCTACGAATCACCAGGCCTCACAGAAGAAAGCTTTCAAGTCAACACTGGCTGATAGAGACGCCTGGCCCCAGATAGGAAACCATCCAAATGAGGGGTTCGAGGGGTTGTGATAAGCACAAGATTTTCATATTAATCAGGTTTTTTGATGGGCCATGTAAAATAATGTAGATTAATGGATGGAAAAGTGTCAGGACTGTGAGGCTAATTATTCATAATAGTCTCAAGTTCAAGCGAGAATGCACATTGGTTCTTCCCAACATCTGGTAACTGTTGACGCATCAAAATCCAAACAACCCGAGAGGGAAAATCATGTCACTATTAATCAAGTTACAGTTTGGCAAAACGGGACACTGAATGTCAACAATATTTCCATTTACATACCTCCTCAACCTATTGATAGATATTTATGTAAAGCTAGATATCAGCTGCGGAAGAAAAACTGTTTTCATTTGGCAATTCTCATTGCTGTGCAAACTTTGCTAGAAACTTGGTACAAGCAATGAGCAAGAAATAACCAACAGCTGGTATGGAGTCAAGATGATAGAATGTACATCAAGTACAAAAAAGCAAATTCACTCATGATTTAACAATCAGAACTTGTCATTTAGAAAGATGGATTGGGACGAAAAGGCACACCGAATACATAAAAGGCGATTTTTATCTGACCCTGCACGCTGCAGGGCCACCTGGGGAACAACTTGGATTAGGAGATCGACAACTAGAACCAGGACCAACATTGTTGGTGAATCTATGACGCATCCGGTAGTCGGGGACACCTCCCATAGCAAATGCACCTGCACCGCCAGCTAGGGTTTGGGTCAGCGATGATGAAACTTCATTGGCACCATCCTTGCTGCATTGTAGAGGTTCCAAAGTTTCAACTACATCACTCATCAAGGGCCGTGCTTTTGGATTCTGGCTCAAACAGTAGTATGCCAGGCTGCAGGCTTTCTGCGCTGCCCTTACAGAGTACTGGTTCTCCAATCTGGGGTCAATTATTTGCAGCAACTTTCTCTTGTCATTCAATTTTGGACGGGCCCAATCCACCAAGCTCTGCTCCTTGCTGGGTCTGGTCTTGTCAACTGACTTCCTTCCTGTCAATAGTTCCAGAAGAACTACACCAAAACTGTATACATCGCTTCTTGCTGTCAGATGGCCTGCATGCAATATAAACTTTTTCAGAAAAGCACAATACATGCATATACACAAAGGCAACTTGGTAGCTCTGCAGTTACCATGAAATCTAGGCCCATCCATGGCACAGGAATCACTGGTTCATCATAACATAAACCATAAAAGACAAATTTAAAATGTGGATCATGTGAAAAGGGACGACTCCAAAATCAGATGGCACATAAAGGAAGTGGATGTCGATATGCAAGTTACTTGTCAGTATTAAGGATGCAGCAGATTGGGAATTACAAAAGCTTCAAAGATCCCACTCTTCATTGGTTCTGAGAAAGAACTGTGGTTGGCTATGTCGAGCTTTTTCACCTTGAAATCCATATCATAAAAATATAACAGATCCATTTAGCTTCTGTCAATGAAAATAGTTTACTCTGGCAGTCAATCTAACAGAACCCTCGTTTATCCAGGCATTGAACTGGCTGTGCCAGATGCCAAACAAACTCAAATCCTACTTAGGCAGAGTTATGAATGCGTAGACATGCAGGATTTCCTTGTATAATAGTTATCATTACAAGACTAACACAAGTACTTGGATCATTTTTGCATCATCAATTATGGATTTGAATGGTCACAAACACTTTTGCATTGCCGGGCATATATTACTATCACCAAACTTCAGGCATTTTACATTGTCAGATGTTCGATATGCCAAACTTATTTTTATCTCAATTGTGTCCTTTTGATATTCCTACTCTTTATTCAACTGAACTGAATATCTGCATCAATAGCCTTTTATGGTCCAAGTGCGAAAATGCTGATTTCTCAAATGGTGCTTATATCAGATAATACCCAGCAATGCCATCCAATTCCTTAATTACCTATTAATTACCAGGCAGCCTTGGAACTGACTTTTCTCCAAAACATACAGAAACACATCCTAATCAATTCTTAGTTTAAGCTTTCTCTGAAAAAATGTTCTTAGTCTCCTTACAAAACCATAGGATTAATAAGGCTAAAGAATCAAAAATTTTATAGATTGTAGAGGGTCTTACCAGTCATCACATATTCAGGGGCAGCATAACCATAGGTACCCATCACTCTAGTTGATACATGAGTCTCATCGCCTTGAGGTCCAGCTTTTGCAAGCCCAAAATCAGAAAGCTTGGCTGTATAGTCCTGCAAATATACAGGCAACTAGTATTAGCAATAGTAACAGGCATGGACTGCTCCTGTATCAAGAAACCATACAAGAAATTTTTCAGAACATATAAGAAACCCCACTTACAGAGTCCAGTAATATATTAGAAGTTTTGAAGTCCCTATATATAACTGGCCTTTCTGCATTGTGAAGAAAAGCAAGCCCTTTAGCAGCTCCAAGTGCTATCATCATTCTGGTGGCCCAAGATAATGGAGCTGTTGCTTCTGAATGCCACGCAAAATTTCATAGCAACTCAAGTTAACAAAAACACTGAGGTTACAGATTCTAATACCAAGCATTATCATAGAAATGTTCTCACTAGAACTAACAAGTAAAATCCCGTACAGCAATAAATCCAGCGTGTATGTATCCTTATGGTAGATATTTTTCAAAGAGTCTTGTAGCTTCTCCCTAAAGTAATAACACCACCCAAAGAATCGAAAATCCCAACCAATGCAATTTCTGACACAATTTGCATCATATTCCCTAAACAAATCAAAATAGATGAAAGTTTATAAAACAGCAGATTCAAAACTGTTTAATGAGAGAACCTCCCATGCAGCAATAAATCCAGTTAATGAACCTAATTGGGAAGCTAAGGATGCACTGGCATATCCTCAAAGTAGTAAATTTACATGTGATGCCATTTAAAATGTTGTCAGTTGATGAATAGAACAAGCAGCTCATGTAATTAAGCAGGAAACCACGAAAACAATATTCATCATTGTTGAATTAGAAATGAAAGATGCGAGAATTAGGAGTGTATTTTTCGTCACAAAAACAGCCCATGGTCTTGAATACAGGTGTTTATGACAGTAGGAAATTATGCTTGCAATTATTGCTCTAAAACATCAAAAGATTTGGCAGAAAGAAGTAATCTTTGATCATTGCAGCAAGACTCAATCATACCATATACAGCAGTAGCAATTACCTTTTCAATCAAAATGGAGCAATAAGCAGCACTCAAGGCAGTAATTGGTAACAAGAAACACAATAAATGAAGAGGAACAAAAGGCAAAAAATGCATACTTCGAAATAGATGATTCTCAAGGCTTCCTCGGAACATAAACTCATAAACAAGTAACCTGTGATCATCCTCACAACAATACCCAATCAATTTCACCAAATTAGGATGCCTAAGCTGCCCCAGAAAATTCACTTCCGTCTAGTAACACAAAAAAAAAACAAGCAGTCAAGCACTACTCAATAAGGTGCTGAGTCGAACGATGTGAAAGCAATTAAGAAGCGACATACAAGCCATTCACGGTGGCCTTGAAGACCCTCTTTATTGAGAACCTTGACAGCAACTGGAAGAGATTTGAGGCCAACCCTGACATTCTCATCAATGTAGCCTTTATAAACAGTTCCAAATCCACCTTCCCCAAGAATGTAATCAGAGCGAAAACTCTTGGTAATAGTCTCAAGCTCATACAAAGTAAAGGCTATAACATGAGTATAAAGAAGGGCATTCTTTCTTGAGTCCTCAAAGTTGCGTGGAGTTGAAGTAGGATCACTCAGATCTGAAACTGACCTGCCATGCTTCTTGTCTGACTGACCGTGTTTAATTGATGCTGATGATGACAGTATGTGAAGTTGTTGTTGAACTGCGTGCCCACCAAATTCAAACTCATATAAACAATAAAGATTCAAACTTACGTTTTATAGAAGCATAAAAGATTCAAACTTCAATGGAATTCAATGAAAATCTCAAAAAAGTCAAGCTTTATTAATGAAACCTTAAATACCCATTAAGCAAAATGGAGAAATAATAAAAAGTAAAATGGGGTTAGAGATAGATCTGGGGTGGAAACTCAAAAGAGAAATTAAACCTTGAGCAGTGGAGACAACAGCAGATTCTTCTCTAGTGCCGCAGTTGCCCATCTTGATTACTGCTGATAGTACTAGAAATGTTGTGACAGTGACTTTGAAGACTTAGTGTAAGTAGTAGAGCAGACGCAGAAGCAGCAGCAGGGACTGGTAGAATGGCTGTCCTGATAATGCAGCAGCCTACTTGTTTCATTCCTGGGTACTTTTTTTTTTCTTTTCTTTTTTTCCCCTGTCTTCCCCCTTGACACACTCTCTCTCTCTCTCTCTCTCTCTCTCTCTCTCTCTCTCTCTCTCTCACTGTTACCAGTGTTTCATCAGTAAAAAAAAAAAAAAAGGGAAAAAATGAAATATTTAAGCAACCCATAATTTCTAGTACTACTCCTTGAATTTATTATATTATTACATTACAATATTACATGCTGAGAGAGAGAGAAAAGGGCAGATGAAATATGAGCCCAAAATACACTACCACCCTACTACTGGTTACTAAAATAAGGAGTAATAGTTGTTAGAAAAAGAAATTCCTGTGCCGGAAAGGGGAAAAAGGTGTCTCTCTCTTTTGTATAGATAGATATCAGACATTAGGTCTGTGAATCTCCTCCACCTCATTTGCTATTGCAAAGGTGCGTAGGACCAGTCAGTCAGTTAGTCAGTCAGTCAGTCACGAACTCGAACTCTTCTTTATTCTTTCTACTAAGTATTTGTTTTTACACTTTCCTTTCTTAACTACTTTCCACTATTACTACTTTACTTTGCCTAAGTTGGTTTGGTCCTTTTCAAAGCACGTTTATCTTCAAACGAATCATTATGACCACAACTATTTAGATCAGATTTCAACTTCATTTCCTAGTTAGTTGTACCTGCAAGGATTCAAAAATGGTCCTCTATTTATTGGGTTTACCTTTTTATGCCTCTTAAAAATTTACTAAGAACAAAGCAAGTAACATGGCTGCTAAAAGTCATAATACAGGTTAGTGAAGCACAGAGTAAATTATAAATCAATCCCTCTTGTTTCCAGAAATGAATTAATTAGTCCTCTTAGTTTTAAAAACTAATCATTTAGTTCATATGTTTTGAAATATACTTGTAATTTAGTTTTTTTTTTCTCATTTTTAATTTACTTTAAGAAATATAAAAAATTGATGAAAAAATAAAAGATTTATAAAATAAAAATAATGTTAAAGTAAGTATGATTAACACTGATTAAAGATTAAATAATAATTTTTAAAACAAAAAAGACTAATTAATTTATTTCTTGAGACTAGAAGGATTAATTTATAATTTACTCATGTAATCGGCATGAAAAATAGAAGGAAAGACAAAAAAAATAAAAATTATTGGATTACAAATGACGGACAAAATCTAAAAAATGAATTTCATTATGAAAGCATTACTGGGAAAAAACACATCAAGGAGCTAGGCTAATGGGCTTTAGAAGGACAAAAGCAAACCGGATTCAAAATGATTGGAAATGGCTTTAGAAGATGCGTTGTCAGGCCCTAATTTATAGTGTGCTAAGACTGGAAATTTGAAATCAAGGGGTCGGATTGGTGGACTTGATAAAACCATTCACAGAACTCAAGTGAATCAGGTAGCTAATACCAGTTGGTTCTCCGTGTTACCCCACGAATTTAATACAACAAAATTATTTTAAAATTTTTTTATTATAATATTTTTTTAATTTTTTATTTAAAAAATATAAATCATTCTTTTTTATGCATTCATTTTAAAATTAAAAATTATAATAATTTTAACTAAAATATTAATTGAGAATTAAAAAAATTATAATTATAATTTTCACAATATTTTATTCCAAAAAATAAAGAACTAAAAAGAAATGAAATATAAAATTTAAAAATGAATATCAAAAAATTATAAAAAAATCACGAAAATATCATTATAGAAAATCACAAAAATGTCCTGTAAATTATTGTTAAAATGAAAAATAAATTACTCTTCAACATTACTGTTAAAATAAACAGTGAATTACTGTTTAAATGAATAATAATTCATGTTTATTTATCCTAACTGTTTTAGTTTTTAGTTAAATTTAATCATCTTAGCATTGTAATTGTAAAATCCAAATGAGGTTGATCCAAAAATCTGCCGATATAAGCTACAAACTAGATCAGATTTGTAATTGAATCGGACAAATCATTTATCCAGTCAAAAATTCAATCAATCTGACTTGATTTAGTCATCGATTCAGTGAAAACCCAACTAAATAAAAAAAATTTTAAAAAAAGTAAGAAACTTTTATTTTTTATTTAAAAATAATTGAAAAAATAGATCGATAAATCAACTAGTTGATCCACAAATTGACAAAATGATCTGATCATTTGGACGCTTAGTCGGATCGGATTTAACAATTATAGTTAGTATCATCTTTACATTACTGTTATTATTATTATTATGTTTGTTATCTTGTTAACCATAACAAGTCACAACTACGACATGCCATATCACCTGTTAATTTTAATTAATTAATTAATAATTATAATAATTATTATTATTATTATTTTGCCAATAACAATTTTCAAAAGCAAAGAAATAAAAAACAAGAAACAATTTTGGCTTTTTAAAATATAAACAAGAAATTATGTGAAACATATCTCGAGAAAATAAATATTGATTAAGACTCGAAAAAAACTAAGAAAAGAAAACATTGAGATTCCTTGTAACTACAATTTATAGAATTTATAAGTCATTTGCCCACACTAAGCTGCAGGTCCCATAAAAAAAATTATTTCATAAATTTAAAATATTTTAATTATAATTTTTTATTTAATTAATTTATTTAATATTTTTTGATAAAGTTTTTGTTTAAAAAAAATAAATCATTCTTCTTTACGAATTGATTTTAAAATAAAAAATATAATAACTTTAACTAAAATATTAATAAAGAGTTAAAAAAAACTTTAAAAATATAATTTTCATAATATTGTATCTCAAAAAATAAAGTTATAATTAATTAATAGACTTTTACAAAAATTAACAAATGAAAAAAAAAACATAAATTACTGAAAAAAATCAAAGAAAAAAAAAGCATGTGCGAGTGCATTAGTTAGGGGATTAAAATTTTTATTTAAAATTTTAGAGATAAAAAGAAACAACCTAAAAATTAAAAAAAAAAAAAAAAAAGAACTTAGATTGATGGAAAAACACAAAGGAAAAAAGAAAAAAGAAAAAACACATATATTGAAACAACTTGAAATTAATTTTTTAATGTTTTTTTATAAATTTTCTGTTTAAAAAACATAAATCATTCTTCTTTATGGATCGATTTTAAAATAAAAAATATAATAATTTTATCTAAAATATTAGTCAAGAATTAAAAAAAAAAACCTTCAAGAATATAATTTTCATAAGATTGTATTTCAAAAAATAAAGTTATAATTAATTGATAGACTTTAGAAAAATTAACGAATGAAAAAAAGAAAGAAAATAAATTGATGAAAGAAGCAAAAGAAAAAAAAAGACATATATAATGCATCAACTAGGGGATTAAAATTTTTATTTTAAAATTTGAGAGACTTAAATGAAATAATCTAAAAATTAAATAAAAATTAAATAAAAAAGAACCTAGATTGATGGAAAAAAGCATGCATAGTGAAACAACTTAAAAAAAAAAAAAAAAACTCGGCTACCGAAAATATTAATCAAGAATTAAAAATATAATTTTCATAATATTGTATTCCAAAAAATAAAGTTATAATTAATTGACAGACTTTTAAAAAAAATTGATAAATGAAAAAAAAAACATAAATTGATGGGAAAAAGCAAAGGAAAAAAAAGACATATGTAGTGCATTAGGTAGGGGATTAAAATTTTTATTTTAAAATTTTAGAGACCAAAATGAAACAACCCAAAATTTTTTTAAAAAAAATTAAATAAAAAAACCTAGATTGATGGAAAATAAAAAAAAAACCAAAGGAAAATAAAAAAGAAAAAGCATGTACAGTGAAAGAATTGAAAAAAAAAAAAAGAAAAGAAAAAAAAAGAGCATTGCTACAAGAATGAATAGTGATTTTGTGAGAAGATGAATAGTGATTTTCACTGTTCAAACTCCTCACCTGTTTTAGTCTATACTAGTAACTAGTACAGTGATTTTCACTGTACAATTTATAGAATTTATTGGTCGTTTGCCCACGTTGCGTACTGCGGTCCGATAAAAAAATATTTTAACTATGATTTTTTATTTAATTAATTTATTTAATATTTTTTCTTTAAAAAAACATAAATCATTCTTCTTTATGGATTGATTTTTAAAAAAAATGTAATACTTTAACTAAAATATTAATCAATAGTTAAAAAACAACTTTAAAAATATAATTTTCATAATATTGAATCCCAAAAAATAAAGTTATAATTAATTGATGAATTTTTACAAAAATTAAAAAATAAAAAAAAACATAAATTGATAGAAAAAATCAAAGAAAAAAAAAGGCATGTATAGTGCATCAATTAGGGGATTTAAATTTTTATTTAAAATTTTAGAGATAAAAAACACAACCTAAAAATTTTAAAAAAAAAAAAAAGAACTTAGATTGATGGAAAAAAGCAAAGGAAAAAAAGAAAAGAAAAAACACGTATATTGAAACAAATTGAAATTAATTTTTTAATTTTTTTTATAAATTTTCTATTTAAAAAAATAAATCATTCTTCTTTATAGATCGATTTTAAAATAAAAATATAATAATTTTATCTAAAATATTAATCAAGAATTAAAAAAAACCTTCAAAAATATAATTTTCATAAGATTGTATTTCAAAAAAATAAAGTTATAATTAATGGATAGACTTTACAAAAACTAACAAATAAAAAAAAAATTGATGAAAAAAGCAAAAGAAAAAAAAGACATATATAGTGCATCAACTAGGGGATTAAAATTTTTATTTTAAAAATTGAGAGACCAAAATGAAATAATCTAAAAATTAATTAAAAAAAAAAGAGAACCTAGATTGATGGAAAAAAATATAATAATTTTATCTAAAATATTAATCAAGAATTAAAAAATTTAAAAATAAAATTTTCATAATATTAACAAATAAACTAAAGCAAAATCATATGTTCCTATTTGAAACACTGTAGTTTGTGAGTAATTTTACTGTGGACACTGACTCAAAACTACTATTCCTTTCACTGTTCTCTTGCCCATTGCTTCTTGACCGTTTATTTTTTTTCTCATCTCATCTCCACCATTGGATTGTCCCTGCTAAGTTTTCAATGTTATCCCATCCAAACCTAGAATTTCTTTTTCTCGAAAACATTTCTGCCGCACTCTGGTCTTTCCATCTCCACCATCACCACCAGATCGGCGCTCTCCTCTTAATAGCCACCACTTTCTTCCTCACTCACCACGTCGATCGCTCCTTCTTTGCTTGCTCTCCCTCCTTAAATCACGACCCCACATCACAAAACGTCTTTCAAGTTTTCGACGGTGGATCTCTCTCCTGGCCCCATCGAGGCTGTAGCTCGCACCTCTCTCTGAAGATCTATGTCTACGAGGAAGACAAAGTTGACGGATTGAAAGAACTTTTGCGAGGCAGAGAAGAAAAACCTCTGCTAATGATTGTGTTAAAGGCCAATGGAGAACTCAGGTAATTTCAAGCAACAATACAAAGGCTTTCTATTATCATTCGTTCTGTTACAGTTTTTTGTATTTTTTGACTTCTTATAGGTTAAGATACACAGGCTGCTATTAGAATCGAGTTTTTCTTTGTGCCTGCCTATGTTAAATGTGTACGGATGATTTGTGTGATAAAGAAATAAACAACACTTATGTCAAGGTAAAAATGTTTTTTTTTATTATTATTATTAAGAATGATTTTTCTCTTCTTTGATTCAAATTGAAGCAATAATTTTTATTGCCGATGTTAAATTTTCAAAGAACCAATATGATATAGGATCTGGTCAACCTACTACTTCCCATTCAGCTGCTATCATCTTCACCCATATCACACATGGTTCTCACCATTCAGATTCATTTACATACTTCAGGGCTAACACATGTTAAGGGCACAACCCTTTTACCCATTTTTTTTTTTAGTATTTTTAAATGTTAATGAAAAAATACAAATATTTTTAAAAATATTGAAAGAATGATGTAACATAACAAGGACAGGATAAAAGGGAAAATCTTTGGCACTATTTTATGGCGTTAGTTTACAGTTGTAAGAAAACTAAGAAATTGCGCTATTTCCTATTACATTCATGTGAGGAATTTGTTTTCTATACATATAATAAAGTATCAAATTGTTTTTAATTATATCTTGATTTCTTTCTAATGGTTTGTTTTGCAATCAAAAAATGTTTAGGAAGGCAATTTTATTACAACTTTCCTAGCTCCCTTGATAAATAACTTAGCAATGCATGTTGTTTGTGTTTGAATCTAGCATTTTTTATATCAATTTTGATTACCTTAAAAGAGCAATCATAGAGAAGGACTGCTAGAATCAACCATGTCGTTTTTCTAAATATTTTTAGGAGATGTTTGTTGTGCCACTCCTCTTTTGACACGTGAACAGGATGGCTTTACATGATATATGTTTTGTGAATTTTCAATACGTGATTGTACTTGCCAGCAATTTGTTCCATATCCTCCTTCTTGTTTAGTCTTTGATTTAAAATTGCTTTGGATACATTTTCCTTTTCATTGATGATGCAGGAGTATTATGTATACTGTGTTGCAATCGATCCTTATCATTTCACTTTGAACATCCCTTCAAATAGCATGTATATGCTCCCAGCAGTTGTAGATTCCCCAGGTTTGCAGCAATTTTGTGATAGAGTTGTTGATGGCATAGCAGCAATCTTTTTGGCATTGAAACGCAGACCTATTATTCGATATCAAAGAACCTCTGATATCGCAAAAAGGATAGCATAAGAAACATCGATGACTAATACTTTGAACTGATGAAATTCGAGTCACATGTCTTACACATAAACATTTTTCTGGTAATAACTTTCCTATGTTGAGTCACAGTTTCTCCCTTTTATTTTCCACATTCATTTCTTAAGGATAAGATGTGTGCGTCACATGTGCATAGGTTACTCCATGCTTAGTACAATAGTAGCTTTTGCTGCAATACCTATATGTGTAAATGAGATGAGATGTCTATGATTTTACTTTACCTTATTAACAGTGAACCTTTTATTTGTTATTTGAAGATCAGTGTCATAGAAAAATTGATATTTTTGGTTATTAACTTTTGGGGCATGCAGAAGCTGATGTACTAGCAGGAAAGTGGCCTTTTCGATATTTGATTCATAGAAATTTCTCCTTTGTTGCTTATAATTGATCGAAGAGATGACCTTGTTACCTCGTTACTAAACCGATGGACTTATCAGGTTCAAGTCGTGACTATGATATGTGATTTCTGTTCTTTTCAAATTTCAAGCATGCTTATGAATTATTTCCAATTAATTATATGGCAGCTCTTTGATTATGTTCATTTATTTTGTAGGCTATGGTTCATGAATTGATAGGTATTTAAGTTAAAAAAGTGGACTTGAGTAGCACTGGAAAATTACCTAAAGATCAGCAGGTTGAGTTGGTTTTTTCCTTATTGATACGATGACTCATCAGTTACACTTGCTTTTCTACTTATGCTGCTCGGAAGTTGTACCATATCAGGCTACCGTTCTTTTACTTCTTTGGTGTTATTAGATTGGCTTCCCATTTCCTTTTAACAAAAACAATTTAAATAATATACGTTGACTTTGTATGCAATTCATGACTTCTTCATCAATGTTATTTATTATTTTTTTTTGTTCATTTTTCTCTTACAAGAATTGCTCTGCTATTTATATTTAACCACAATAATTGTTATATTTTGATATTGTTGATGTTAGCTTTTTTATTTTGATTATCTCTATCTAATGGCCTTCCTACTTTGATTTGCAGTTCTTGGTTATTTTTATTCTTGGTGTTCATGACTTTTCTTAATTCAACTTTTCCTTAGTACTTATTTATATGTTGTTTCTATTTCTCATATATTATTTTGCTTTGCAGCCTTCAAATGATGACTATGTTGACTCTGTAACTTTCTGCCCTTGGTGACTAGATTAACTCTGCAACTTTCTAGCACTCACTAAGTTTGTCTTCGTGAGTCACTGATTAATTTCAACTTTTTTTTTAATAACAGTCTCTGTATATGTTTTTGTCTTTTATTTTTCATACCACAGTTCTCATCTTCATCGTCAAGGCTTATTTGATTCTTCATGGTTGCCTTAGTTTCCTTCTTCTCATCATCAAGGTTGGTTCGATATAGAAGCGGCATTAAGGAGTTGACCCTATAAATCAAGTCATGGTACCTCAAAGAATGGCCTTCACTCTTGCTGAAAAATATTCAGGCACAACTGACAACCTCCTTACAGCACCATCATGTGTAGCTCCTGGAGCCATAGCGTAGAACCTGTCGAAGTCAGTTTTTTATCTATTGATGAATTTTATATGTGTTTAAGTTGTCGAACCTTTTCTATAGCATCAGTTTTGTCTGGCCCACTTAAATATTTAACATGATATAATACAACTGTGCAGTATTATTTCTTAATGAACTTGATCTCTTTTTAAGGTGTGGAGCCTTTTCTATAGCAGCATCTTTGCATCGCCCAGTTAAATATTTAACCTGATATTGTACAACTTTGTAGTATCATTTCTTGAAGTCGAGATCCATCAACTTTGCCTTATATATCACGATTTAATGTGAATTGAATATGAATCAACCTTAGATTTTTTGAAGGTTTTGTTTTGTTTTAAATTAATATTTAAGATTAATTGAATTAATATGGTTGTTACTTCCACTATTACATATTAATTTTTCATTTTTGGGCTACTTTGACATTTTATTGAGTTTACATGCACATGGTTAATTGAATTCATTACAAGGGTTAATTAATTTTTTTCTTGATCTACAAGTGAACATGATACTTAAAAACCTGATTTTGATGCATTTATATCAATGAAGCTCGAAAGTTTGGTTTGATCTCGAAAAGAATTTTTTTTTCTAATTTAAATTTTCTCATGTTTTTTTTTGTTTCATCACTCTTTTGCTTTTGTTTGCTTAAATTTGAGAACTTTTAAAGTCCATATAGGAAGTTTTGACTTTATTTATTAAGTCTTTTGACCAAAATTTTTATGTTGATCTTTGAATTTATTTATTTATTTTTACTTTTTGTTTCAACTCTGTGTATTTTTTGCAGTTTGTTGTTAAATGAGGGAGGTTTGAATTAATAAAATTTCTAGTTAGTTTTCACGGGTCTAGAGGTTGAAGATTGAAGGTTTCGATTTTATGTATTTTTATATTGATTTTAAATTTTAGATTCTTTAATAAATATACATTATTAAGTGTTTTAAGAACCTCAGAATATTTGGTTTTATTAATTTTTGTCACATGCTCATTTTCATGACTTATGGTTAAAAAATATGGAAAGGGTAGAGGTCGAGGACATAAATTCTTAGATTTTATGGATGCTAATTTATTGGTCAGTCTAACATATTGGTCTCCCTAACGATTAAATACTATTCTTTTGCTTTACAATATTTAATTTATAGATCAGTGTCTAAACAAAATATCCTACCATGACAACAATTAGCATTTTAATGTCATGCACATGAATACGTTATTTTGTTCGATATATAGTTAATTCTGTACTCTTGAATAAATTATCCCAATAGTTAAAGACTTAATTTTTCAACTCAGTCTTAGGTTTTAAATTTATGCTTAATTAATTTTGTTACATTACAGTTATCTAAAACATATGGTTTTTTTATTCCTATAAGAAAGCTAGAACTTTAGTCTAGACATGAGAACTATACTTATTTTTTACCCATTTCAAATTTTTTGATCCATAATTTAGTTTGCAGGAGTTTAATTTTGATCCATGAATTAGGAGCTCTGAATCCTAATTATTTGACATATAGACCCACATATGGGAATGTGAGTTTATTTCTTTTAACAAGCACCCATTTTATGGGAATGTGAGTTTCTGTCAGAATACGAACCTTGAAAGTTTAAGGGGCTTTCAAAGTTTATACCATGTAAGTAGTTGTTTGTTGTTGGGTCTACAATTAGTTAATGTGGTACTTGCAATTGTTTGTGGGAGCATTCTGTTTTTTTTTTTCCTAATAGAAAGTTGTTGAATCACCATCTTGGTTTACATATAAGGATTATATGTTTTTAGTTTTACGAATTAACTACGCTCGCTGCATGGATATGGGTTTAGGAATCACCCTTGATTTTTTATACTTCTTTACATGGAAATTAATGTGTGAACAAAACTGCATTAAATTCTTTCTCTGAAAGTTATCTACTATGATTTTATTTACAGGTTATATCTGATCCACTGTTGTCAGCAACACGTTTGGATAAGATTGTGGAACATAATTTTGTAAATTTTGATTTCATATTAGCATGAGCAACAAACGACCTTGCAAGAATCTTCTTTCTGTGGCCATGGTCAATCTATCTTCAATAATGCAATCTCCTTTCTTTAGGTACGTAAAATGTAAAATAATGGATGATAAGATAATAACTATTGTTTCTCACTATTGGCAAAGAAATGTACAAATAAAAAACAGGGTCATGACACCAAAAAAACTCAGTTTGTGATGGGAAATGAATTCAATGTCATATTATGTCTGTATTATTCCTAGGCTGGTTTATGTAAGTTTTCGAAGAACTGTACAAACTAGAAATAATTGCTATGATATGTTAAATTGGTGATGGCTCATGGATGGTGGAAACATGCAGTTGCTTCGGATTTGGATGGGCACTAAGCGATTCCTAGGCTAAAGAAAATAGTTAACGACATTGAGTTAATTCATGAAGCTTGATAATAAGGTTCAAGGCAACGGATAAAGATCTTTCACCGAATATAATGAAACAATTTCCCAAACAACCGAAGAATCTAGATGAATCACCACCTAAGGGAATTAGAGTGGGAGTAAGCAACGATGATTTTTCGATCAGATCATATATGTTGATATTAAAGGCCAAGCATAAATCTTTTTCCTTCTAAATTTACATCCTTTGAGATATTATTCTGTTTTTTTTCCTTGAAGCTGTTATTATCTCATGATTTTTCACACTCTCCTCCCAAAGGTTTGTGGATTCACACTGCTAATATGACTTAAAAAATTTTGATTTGTAGTTTAATTTAATTCAAAGGCTTACTTCCGATAGTGTAGAGGAAGCTTTTGTGGTAATGGGCAGTCAAGGGTTGCATTTCTTCATATTACATTCTTATAATTTAATTTAATATAAGCACTCCCTCTCGGAAATCATTTTAAGACTAATTTTGTTTAGGAAACCTCTTTGATACAATAAGATCGTATAAAAACAATGGGATCTTTGAGACTAACATGTAATTCTTTTTGGACACACATTCATGTGTGATTATGCCAACTGCATCAAAAAGGGAATAAAAATTTCTACGATAAAAGGAATGTTTTACAATCAATTTGGACCCCACATGCAAAGGGAAATGGAATGTCTACATTAAAGGAAGATAGGCTTGATATGTTCCTATTTCTGTTAACGTGCGCTCATGTTTTTACTCATAAAAATACAAAGTGCATGGGCCTGGACCTTTGGCCTTTTTTTTTTTTTTCCTTTTAAGCTAAAAATATAGAACATTTAGTGTTATTGTTTGCGTTTTTCCTTTTAAGCTAAAAATGCAAAGGGAATAATAATTTTTTTTCCTTTTGAGAATTATATATATATATATTTCATATTATACTACATTTATTGTTTCAAATTTATCCTTTGAATTTGTCATTTCTTATGAAAATTATCATCTATTTTTTATAAAAAAATTTTATTTATTAACAAATATAAGTTAGTTTTTTTCTATATTTGAAATGCAAGTGTAATATATATATATATATATATATATATATATATATATATATATAATTGGAATAAAATTTTAGAACTTAATTTTTTCTCTTTTTAAAAAAATTATAATATATATCATGAATTTTTAGAATTTTTTTAAATGATGGTGGCACATATATAAATTGATATAACATATATCATGATTGTTTTTTTTTCTTTTTTTAATTGGTATACGAGTCTATACATTAATTGTAGTTTTATTTTTTTTGCATACAATCTTACGAAAAATATATTTTTTTTTGTTTTCTTTATTCTTCATTAATATTATAGTTTAAATTAACACAAGTTTTTATTTAAGATTCAACGCATAAAGAAGAATGAATCATTTTTTTATTAGAAAATTTATGAAAAACATAAAAAATTATTTTAAGCTACAATATTAATGAAAAATTAAAAAAAATAAATGAAAGATTTTATTTATAAAATTATAAAATTTTGAAATGATTTTATTATGTCCGACTTGCCGCATAGCACAGAGTTAACTAGCTATATAATCTAAAGATTAAAAGTGTTTTCTAGATAATTTGTTTCATATATATCCTATATACTAAAGCAAAATGCTTTTTCATCGTAGCAATGAACAAGTGTCAATCACCGTTCATTGCTACAATGTTTTGTTTTTTTTTTTCATTAATCTTTTTTTTTTGCTAGACCCGCTACCTCCCATCCGTTTACTCGTTCATTTGAACAAGTAAACGACTTCCCTTTTTTTTTTTTTTGGAAATATTGAATTTTTTAAAAAAATTTCCGTCCATTTACTCGTTCACATGAACCGTAAACGGCTTGCACCCTTCTTTTTTTTTCTCGAACATTGAATTTTTTTTAATTTCTCGTTTCTTAATAGTATTTGGTGTTAAAATTTTAAAAGAACCAATAATTAATTGGGTGTTAAAATTTTAAAGAAACCATCAATTTATTTCCTTTATTATTTATTTCTAAAATTAAAAAAAAGAAATAGTTAAATAAAATTTTTTTCCAACCCGTAGCATAGCGCAATTAAAAAATCTAATACTATATACTAAAGAAAAACCATTTTTCATCGTAGCAATGAACAAGTGTTGATCACTCGTTCATTGCTATATTACTTTGGCTTTTTTTGTTTTTTAAGTTTTCATTTTTTTTTACCAAGCACCCACCGGCCCCCTTCTTTTTTTACCCGTTTATTGTTCATTTGAATGGTAAACGACTTGCCCTCTTTTTTTTTCTCTCTCTAAACACTAATTTTTTTTTAATTTCCGTCCCTTTACTATTCATATGAACAAGAAACTAGCTAGCCTCCTTTTTTTTTTTCCTAAACATTTGAATTTTTTTTTTAATTTTAATTTCTTAATAATATTAGGTGTTAAAATTTTAAAAGAACCAACAATTAATTGGGTGTTAAAATTTTAAAGAAATCAATAATTTATTTGCTTTATTATTTATTTCTAAAATTTAAAAACACAAATAAGAAATAGTTAAATATAAATTTTTTTCATTCAAAAATTATAATTATTTTTTATCATAAAACAGATTATTAAACCGAAATAATTATTCTATATGATTTTATATATTTTATCCAATCCGCTAGCAGTAGCGCGGTAAAAAATCTAGTTGTATTCTAAACAATAAAGTTATAATTAATGGAAAGACTTTTACAAAAATTAACAAATGAAAAAAAAACCTAAATTGATGGAAAAAAAACAAACGAAAAAAAAAGACATGTAGTGCATCGATAGGGGATTAAATTTTTTATTTTAAAATTTTAGAAACCGGAATGAAACAACCTAAAAATTTTAAAAATAAAATAAATAAAAAAACCTAGATTGATGGAAAAAAGCAAAGGAAAATAAAAAAAGAAAAAGCATGTATAGTGAAAGAATTGAAAAAAAATAAATAAAAAAAAGACCATTGCTTCAAGAATGAATAGTGATTTATGAGGAGATGAATAGTGATTTTTACCTGTTCAAACCCCTCACTCGTTTTAGTTTATAGTAGTAACTAGCATGTGTTACCATATCTAGATAGGATTACATTCATATCTAGATAGGATTTTGTTCATATTATAACTTACATGTATTTCAGCTTATATTGTACAAATTGTAATATTAGATTGTTTCCATAGACAAATCGACTCGTAAATTATACGAACTCGTAATTAGAATATTCTAGGAGAAGAATCAGCCTATAATCTCTCTTTAGATTATACAGCTATAATCGTAGGCAAATCAGTCTATTTTCTCTATGTAAATACTTCTATAAATTAAAGAGAAGGAGGAGGACACAGGAGCATTCATCCAAAATTTCTATCTTAGTTTCTTAATCTTGTTATGGTATCGAGTTTGGTTCTAGAGTTTTCGAATAATTTTTTTAGAGATTACTTCAGTCTTGGCAAATTGTCTTGTTGTTATCTATTGTTTACAACATCATCTTGGGATTTTTTTTGGGAGAAATTCTTCAATTTCAACATGGTGGGCAGGAGCTCAAATTCTGAATTTTGTGTTAAGTTTAACGGGAAGAATCATTTGACATGGGAATCTCAATTCCAATTGTATGTCACTCGGAAAAGAGCTTTGGGGGCATATAGATGGATTTGTTCCAACCCCAACGGATGCCATTATATTGGCTAAACGGAAGGTCACCGATGCTCGGGTGATGTCTTGGATTATCGGGTCATGTGATCCTCAAATTGTTCTCAATTTACACCCATATAGGACTCGCTAAAACGATGTTAATAACAATGGTAATCTTAGTTTATCTTAGTTTGAATAACAATGGTAATCTTACTCTAATAAATAAATAAATAAATATCACATTTTTAAACATATTGTTTGGATATTGTTGAAAATGTAACAAGATATGAACTTATTGGGAAGAAAATCTTTAAAAGTAAACTCGTCACACTTAAAAAAAAAAAAAAAAAGGTACCGTAAAATTTTATTGATCATTTAGTTTTTAAAAGTGAACTTATTTATATTTTTTTCCTAAAAAAAATTGTTACAAGAGGGGATGCATATAAAAATATGTATGTGACTTCAAAAGATTGCCCTAATGGTTAAAAAGGTTTGTTCAATTTTTTTTTTTTTGGATTCATATCTTGAAGCCACCACCTAATAGAATTTATCAGATTTCATTAAATGTACTAGGACTATGTAGAGAATCCGCTCTTGAGATTATCTGGAAAAAAAAAAAAATCGATTAACATGCAATTTGATTCAGAGACACCCTTGCTGAAAAAAAAAAAAAAGAATATATATTTCATCAATACAATCAATAATTATCTTAAAAAAGTAATTTGTAATTAATTAAAAGCTGAGCGATATTTTTTTGTAAGAATAAAAACAGCCATTCGTTATTTACACCATGTGTAAATATAAATCTGTTACATAAGTTCATGTGTTTTCAATTTGGACAAATAAACATGTGTATTTTCAATTTTAATTATTTGAATATGATTTTATAAAATTAATAATTTTTATACATTAAATCAAATAAAAATATAATTCATACATGTATAATACCGCATGTGTATCTTTACTCTAGTTAGATTTTTTTTATTTGAATTTAAAAAATAAGGATTGTGGATCTTGCAAATTATTCAATTGATTGAAATTAAGATTTTAATGCATCTCGTGTCTCTACACTTTAACGAAATTATCGTCACAACCCATGTACCTAAATATAGTCCATAACTAACCTTATACTATTGAAAGTTGGTGTAAAATAATCCTTTCGTTATATTTTTCTATTAATTTGACTAAATTATGTTAATTGATTTAATGTCAACACATGTTGTTTTGAAGGTAAAAACCTGATTTTGTTTCTTTGTTTCTCGTGTAGTAGTAATATATTTCTACACAAAACCTAGGGATTTCTCTCTTTTATATTATATTTATGCAGGAACAAAAAAACGTGAGCTGCATAATAAATAATTAAGCAGTACTAAAATAATTTAATGTAATCTGCAACATAAAAATCAAACATGAGACTATTAAATAATCCAACTAGGACGAATCTTTTTTTTTCCAATTTTAAATGATTTTAACTTAAAAGAAAGTTAGAAAAAACAAAAGTAGAAATAAAATTATGTTTTCATCCTTAAAATAATAGGTGTCGATATTGTATCGGTTATTTATAAATCAATTAACAGAAATTAGTCAAATTAAAAATAAAATAAAATAAAATAAAACAGAGAGATTATTTTACAATAACTTTCAATAATATAAGGTCTGTTATGGATTATATCTGAATATAAAGATTTTGACGATAACTTTATTAAAGTACTAGGGCACATGGCATGTTAAACACTTGAAATTAATAGTATATGCATTTAATTGACCAAATTAAAAACATAGGCTTTTATTTGACGGAATTATGTTTTGTGCAAATAGAATAAAGAACCGCGAAAGGTAAAATGAAGACCCAGCTCAGCTCAGCCCAGCCCAAAAATCTAGAGCACGTAAAATCCTTATCCATCCATTTCTCTGATCTGATCCTTCCTGGAAAACCTTGAGAGATAGAGACGGAGAGAGCACTCCAAGCAGCGGTGGAAGAGAAATGGCTTTATCAATGGCAATGGCAGTGGATGCTACTTCTTGTACTAGTAACAGATGGAGCATGGCATCTCTCAGGACCGCACTTCCCTCTTCTTCTTCTTCTTCAACGAGTGCCGCAGCAACAATTCGACTCCCATCATCTCGTTGCCAATGCCTCCAGCAATGCATCAGCCTCTCTCGCTCTCGCCGCCAACAACAACCAGTCCTCACTCGCTCCTTTACTGCTATTAACCCTCTCTCCTCCCTTGGTTTCTCCGGTAATTTCCATCTGTTCGTTCATTGTTTAAACATTATTTATTTATTTGTTGTAGTATTATCTGTTTGATTAATAATTCAGTAAAGGGATTTCTTTCCGCATCAATTTATTTTATACTTTTTTTAATAATAATAATAATAATCCACTGCGTCTTTCAATTTTTATGTTGGACTGGGAAATTTTGCTGCCATAAAGTTCTGCCATTTCAGGGTACCACTCTGACTTTGCAAATGCCTCGTGTGTTTTACTTACAGACAACACCACTTTTGGACATGCCTTCCCTGCTGTTGATAATGGCTCGCGTTTTTTTGCCATGAGGCATGGAAGGCGAGTTCCCAAGCTCAATCGCCCACCTGACCAGCGTCGGGCACTTCTCAGAGGCCTCACCACTCAGCTTCTTAAACACGGTCGTATTAAGACCACAAGAGCGCGCGCCAGTGCCATGAGGAAGTATGTTGACAAGATGATCACCTTGGCAAAGGAGGGGTCTCTCCACAAAAGGAGACAGGCTCTGGGCTTCATCTATGAAAAGCAGATTGTTCACGCCTTATTTGCAGAGGTACCAGACAGGTATGGGGAACGAAATGGTGGATATACCAGAATTATTAGAACTCTACCAAGGCGAGGGGATAATGCACCCATGGCATACATTGAACTTGTCTAGGTGTTTCCTTTTCTCAAAACTTATTCTTGCACTCTATTTTGAAATTACTTTCTGCTGAATCATATGCCTGTATTCATATTACCATTTTTGAGATAGAGTTGTGTGCAGTGAAGATGGTGCATTATGATTTTGCTGTTTGCTTTCTCTGGGACATGGTCTATAGGTATTACCTTGATGGTGTGATTTCTTTTAGTTTAAACTTGCATTTGGCCTTTCGGGTATGAATACTGATTGGTCGTACCACCACAGTAACACATTCAAAAGAATCTATCATGACTAAAATCCCTATATTCTCAAATGACAGGATGTATAATATACATTTTTCTATCCCTTTTTTTCCCCCTTCCTTGAGTGTGAACAATAGCGTTTGCTGTCAAAGTTGCTCCTGCCTTACCATCTTTTGCTTTCTTAAGTGTTTATGTAATGACCATACCAGTCCATACACATTAACCTGGTCTTTGTCTTATTCTTCCAAAACGAGAGGTCTTTTAAAGAGTAGATACATGTAGCATGTCAAGAAGCTGGTACAATTTGAACTTCGCCTTTCTAATAGACTTCAAGTTGAAAACAAACTAGGAAAAGTAAGAAATGTCAATGACACAAGCTTAACTCTAGACTGTGTTGGACCAAACTACAGCTTCTTACTAGAGAAACGTAGGACTCTATCCTGTCAATCAACTTCAAACTTGGAAGGCTGGCAACGAAATTCCCTTTCACTTGCCTCTTTCTTTTTTCCTTAGTACTTTTAACTTTCCTTTTTCACTTTGATTTTCTTGAATATCTCAACTGCAAATTCGTTGAATTTGAGCTTTACTCAAGGTTTCCTTTCCTCGTCTTCATTCTCTGGCCATTGTTCTCTGCTGTGGAACTTTCTATTTGATTCACCTCTGCTAAGTTGAACCTCTATAATATTATAATATTACTGCTCAATTATTATTCATTTCAGGGTCTTCTATGCATAATTATATTCTGCATTTTCTCATAACTACTGGTCTCTTATTTTTTGGAGTTACTTTGATCTTCATTTCCTCATTTTTACCACTTTTTGCGCTACTCTCCTCTCCTTGAGCATTTTTATGCAAGTGTAATTTCATATTCTATTTCTTGATCACGTGCCTGTCTGCTTGTACAGACTTTTTGTAATTACCCATGTAATTCTATACCATCAAAATTGTACTCCAGGGACCCTTTGTGTCCAAAGTTGATCCGTTTTCTAAGGAAGGGACCTTATCATGCCAACTAATTTTCTCTGTCACTGCCCTCAGTTGGTGCTACTTTAGAACTTCTAAATATGATGCTTTTTTAGAATGTCTATAATTATCATTTTACTTAGCTATCCTGACATTCTTAGTTCTTCATTTGGTGGTAATTATTAGAATCATTTTCTCTGTTTGAAGTCTTTCTCCACCTGATCCTGCTCCATTTCTACACCTGTGGTCATTTGAGTCATTATTCATTTTAGGCTCTTCTGTGTTTCTGAATTTTTTCATAATTATGAGATTCTTATTTTGTCAGTGCATTTGATCTTCTTTTCCTCTTCTGCACCACTATCCTCCTTAGGCATTTTTGTACGAGTGTAATTTATACTCTATTCCCGATCTCATGCTGGCATGCACTTTCAATCTTTTGTGACTATCTCATGTAATTCCGCACCTACCAGATTATAACTCAAGAGACCCCATATTTGTAAATTTGATGTTCTTATTTATTTATTTGTTTTGTTTTGTTTTTTTTCCCTTTTGAAGGACCTGATTGTGTGAACTAATTTCCTCTATCACTGACCTCAAACTGTGCTACTTTAAAACTTCTAATAGGGTGCATGTTTTGGAATTTTTCAATCTCAATCGTTTTACTCATCTTTTCCAACATTCTTAGTACCGCATTTGACCTGTGATCATTTGAATCATACTCTGTTTTAGGTTAAGCAGCTGGTTTGCTTGTCGTTACTTAACTTGCAAGTCCTGCTTGCTATCAATTCCTAGCAAACATTGCTTGGCACTTTTCATCTTCCATACTTGGTACGAATCTTAAAACCTGTGAGTGACGTGTGTCGAATCTGCCCGACTGTTTATTATGAAAACCATTGCCTTAGATGAGCTTCACTTCGCCTGAAGTAAAAAAGAAAAGAAAGAGACGATAAGACTACAAGCTTTTAATATTAAAAACAAAACGTCAAGAACGGTTTAGTGAAATCCAAATCGGTAGGAACCTAGAATGGAGTTTAATGATGCTGATGTAAGGATTCTTTTGATGTCTACACCCTGAAAACTCCATCTAAGCTTTTCAGCTCACACTTTTTGTATGCTTTAGACATTTTGTCACAGAATATCTTTACACCTGGTATTTTGCTTTCTGTTCTTTACTTGTTCAGTTATATTTTTTATTAATCAGGTCAGTTATGTGGTTTCTTAGATATCTGATGCCCTCTCTATCCCTCCATGCTAAATGGCAGTCTTTGATTTGCGGTATAGCTAGTGAGTGCCTTTTGCATAGTGATGTGGCATCAGAAACTTCCTTCTTACTCTTTTAATCTATATTTCTTGAACACACTTGCTTTCATCTTACTGTTGAAATCGTCACTTTTTATCAATTGAGTTTAGTAATTAGTGTGTTCATTTGAGCATGGAAGCCCAACTGGTCTTTCCGACCGACAAATTGGCGAGTTGTGAAGATATCCCTGTTTCATGGGCATAGGTTGCTTGCTGGTTGTGATTGTGATTTTTAATTGTAGGAACTTTAGGCACATGGAAAATGAGTCTATCCTCCTCCGTATCGATCCTTCTCAGAGTTTATAGTTTTACATTCACTCCCAAGTCAAAAGTAGGAACTTGAAAAAGACTAAAGTGCGGATTTTTTCCATCTCTGTGAGACCTTTCCTCGTGCATATAAAAGTAGATTTTTCTTCTGCTGGTTTTGTTATGCAGTTGAAACTGCGTTCTTATATGTCCTCAGCTTGGCACCAACCCATAGAAAGCTGATATTCTTTCAATTCCCATCATATTCCAAAGCACACTAGTTGAGGTCGGTGTAATTTTATGCTTAATGTGCTGCCATTTGTAAACATACGTGGATGAAAAAGAATCAAGATAGGAAGTACATGTAAAAGAATCATTTTACAGGTGTCATAGTTAGCGTGGTCCTTTTTGCAAAAGAAAATCAAGAATGCAAATTTTCAGGGCAGATTGGTGATCTTTTGAATCCGGGTTCAGCAATAAGGAAATAACCCTGAATGTCGAGAACTCTCGAAATTCCTCTTTTTGTTTTGAAGTTGATTGTTGAGGCAGTGTGCATGCATTATCCCATGATGCTCTTATAATTAGAAAGTAGGCGGAGCTTATACTCAGAAGTTGGTGAACGTCCACCACAAAGATGTGTGCTAATATGTATTTATTTATCTAGGTTACGATGAAATTAGAAAAGTAGGAGCGACATGAGGCGAGTGGAGAAATAGGAATGGACAAAGTTTTAATTGATTAAGACAAAGTAGACAAGCAGAGGGAATTTTAGGAAGAGGAAGGTATTGCTTGTTTGATTATGAGCTGGTAGGAATAGGAATCGAATCATCTCCCCATCTTTTTACGAAATGTTATTAGTGGTAGTGGGCGCTAGGGTGTGGGATATTATTATTATTATGAGGAGTGCAATGTTGGAACGGTTCTCCCTCCACTAAAACTGAATGCCACCAATACAAGTTGTAGCTAGGTGGACGTCACTATCAAAGGATGAGCCATGAGCGTGTCGTCTCCTATTTCCTCCAGTTCAACGCCTCCTTTCATTGCATTAAAGACCCCTTTTCTTCTTTGCTTTTTACATGGCCAAAAAAGTCGGAAAGAACTCATATTCCTCACTCAGGTGCATCCATGTAGTGTCGTCTTTAAAGTAAGCATGACTGAGAAGTAAGAACTGGGTTTTTTTGAGCTGGTTATTTTGAGTTTGATATCTCATCATAACCCTAATAATTACATGCATTGCACTGTCTTGAAAGGCTGAGATGAGCTTGGCCCTACTTAGCCAAACCCTAATCCCACCGTCCAAAAACATTTGAGGGTTCTTTTTATTTCATGGAATATATAGGATGCCAAATATGTACCTCGTCCGCAGGTACTATTTTGTCGCGCCTTCTCGGCCGTAAGCTTGTGAATCGGAATCAAAATGAGTTGGACCCTCTTTCATGAGCCATTTGACTATGCCTATTATCGTTTTCCATTGCACCATGGCCATGGGATGTCAGAAGCCACATGTCCTTTTGATGCTCAATCCTGATGATATATAGTAGAATAATAAAGAGCAACGAGGAATGAGGATAATGACCTTCGAGTTTAGCATCTTCTAATATTTGCACGATGATAGGCTTAGGTTATCTTCCTCCCCTCTCTCCCAATGCGTGTCTAAATTGTAAAGCTCCAATTAAAATTAAGAGATAACCTCGACTATGTCGTTGTAAGCTTGAATTAATTAGTTCCCATCTCTTTAATCCAAGATTTTTTTTTATATATATATATTATCTATATCGGCATCGAACCTAAATAATTAATAATAAACTAGGTAAAATATCTAAAAGTAGAAATGAAATAAAAACAAAAGGTCAGAGGTATTCCTCATTGAAAATGGCTCCTCGGCGATTGATGGAGTCCCATAAACCGCCCCAGCCAATGGGATAATTATGATTGTGACATAAAATCTAATTAAACAATTAGTGCATTATTTTATACTCGTATTTAGGGAAAGCAAGGAAATGTTTGTTAAGAGACGGAGACTTGGTACAAGTTGAACTCCCAAAAAGAAATATCGTTGGGTAAGAGTGTCCAGGTGTCAATCCCAGCACCGCTAATTAGTCCTCAGCCACAAGTTTGATTTTGTTTAATACTATTAATATATATCTAGCAGTAGAATGCAAAAATGACTATTACAATAATTGGCTTAGAAGGAAAGGTAGCGTGGGGGCTGCCATAATTAAAATAAGGAATTCTTGTCATTGGTGCTGATCTGCATTTAATTATGATTATCGAGTCCATTACGTCCCACCAAACCCATCCGTCTTCTCCATTTAATTATTTGAAGTGGTAAATAATTTTGTAATTATGTGTCAATAGCATCCCATAATTAAAAAAAAAAAAAAAAGGACTGTAGTAGTTGTAATTTTGTGCAATAGTTCATTAGCTAGGCGGATGCTTTCTGTCTGTCCTCACATACGTCGTGTAGTTGAGGGGTCCAGGGTGGGGTGCTGTTGGGCACTCTTGGACTTTTTTTCACAATCGGGCGCCCGTGTCTCGTATCTTATTCTTTGTCAAGGCATCCTAAAATATTTTTGATTTGTTTGTGGTTTTGGACCCCTCGTAGCCATAGCCACAGCCGTAGAAATAGGAATACTAGCCACGCCCCATCCTTTACCACCCCTTCACCCCCTTGGCTACTTCTTAATTAGTTCTCACTACTATATGTGTATATATATATAAGTGTGAGTGCTGAATATAAACTTGCCATTCGCAACCTAAAGAAGAGAAAAAAACACCCTACTTTCTCACTCTCTTTTTTCTGTCCTCTCGTCTTCGATCAATCAGTCGAGTTGAATATAAAATTGAATTACCTACACATACGTACAGTTGTGAGGCTGGAATCGATTACTCCCGGTTTAACTACAGGAATGACAAAGGTATACCCCAACGTTGCTACCACCACCGCCACCAACAACCAGAGGCAGCCTGTCAAGTTCAAGTCCTCTAATAATGCCTTAGACGCAGGTGCAACTAATGTCCTAACCGTGTGGAAGAAGTCTTTGTTGTTCAACTGCAATGGCTTTACAGTCTATGATGGCAAGGGCAACCTTGCGTTTAGGGTTGACAATTATATGGCTACTTCTGGTAGTAACGGTGAGATCGTTCTCATGGATGCTGCTGGAAAGCCTCTCCTCACCATCCGTCGCAAGGTGTATATATAACTTTTTTCAGTTATAAATTATATATTTAGCATTAATGGTTTAATTACTTAGGCAAATTAATATTGGTCTTACTAATTTTTTTTTGTTTGTATGTAATTAACAGAGGTTGAGCTTAGGAGATAGCTGGCTGGTGTATGATGGAGAAACAGTCATCAACCCTCGTTTTTCGGTGAAGAAGCATGTTAACATCCTCAACACAAAGTGTTTGGCTCATGTTAGCCCTGCCGCAGGTAGTAAGAAGAACGTTATGTATGATATAGAGGGATCGTATGCACAAAGATGCTGTGCGGTGTATGATGAGAAGAAGAGAATGGTGGCTGAGATCAAACAGAAAGAGGCAGCGGGTGGGGTGGCTCTTGGTGTAGATGTATTCCGCCTCGTTGTTGGCCCAGAAATTGACACTTCTGTGGCCATGGCTATAGTCATCCTCCTTGACCAGATGTTTGGTTCAACCAAACGATTCTCGACCTGATTAAGTACTAGCTAGCTATGACACTTGCCACAAACATATAAAGAGAATTTAAGGGTATATACACATATATATACCGTACAGTATATAATTAATTAGCAAGGAATGGATCATCCCATTCTGATTTTGAATTTTGATCTGCTAGCTTTGTCCAGCACGAAGGAAACTAGAAAGCAATTAATTGCTACATCACCATCACCACCTCCTCTCCGGCGTTCTTTACCTTTCATTGATATATACCATCTTTTTCCATGCAAATCCCCACCTTTTCCGGTTCCTTTTCTTCTTCTTCTTCTTTTTTTACTGGTATATGTAGAGCTTGGTTTTTTCCTTTTAAATAAAAAGCCAAAGCTCCATGTGGGGATGTATATATATGTATTTCAAAAGAAAAAAACCAAACTGCCATAGTTTTGCTATCTCGTTTTTTTTTTTTTTCCTTTTTTGGGCAAAGGATGTAGGATAAGTGGGGTGATGATGATCTGCTATGATTTATTTTCCTGATTTTCCTTGTAATGGTATTTTAATTTCCTTTGTAGAAATTAAAATAAAGCTATTTATATGAAGAACAATCCAATAAAAATTAGTAGCTGCAATTTGAGAATTTTAGTGTTTTATATATGTTGTTTTTTTAATGCTTGATATTTGAGCAAACTCTAAATTTGAAATTAAGCACATACCAGCCCGTGATTGTGAAAAGTGACTATAGCATATGGCCACCGGCTTAGGCCATCAACTTGACAACTTGCATGCTGGTGTTTTGTATTTTTTTCCAGAATATTCAGACATTAATCATGAGTTATATTACTGATTCTCCATCTTTCAAACTGCAGTTTAGTATAGGATAACTCATTCATGTCTTCTCAAAATAGTGATGGTGTGTGAAATTTTCAGAAGATGATCTTGCCATATCTGTTGGGTATCCAACTCGAGATCGACCAATTAATTATCATTTAGGGTATGAGAAGAGATTTTAAGCTCCCGTTCATCAGGGTATCTTGTTGAATGCCTGATCAGTACCTACTTAATTATATATTTTTTGTTAATTATAATTTTTAATGAAATTAATCTCTTAATATTTAAATTCGTATTAATTTCTTAATTAGAAATTTCGAATACAAATCTTCGATACCTACTTACATATTGCCTGACAGCACCAAATATAATAATGACAGCAGAAAAAAAAATATCGGCAAAATCCTCCTACTCTCCGCAGCTGGAATATTCTGAACATTTCATTTCCTAGTCAGTTTTTGTTGCTGAAACATCAGGTACTGTAACATCACCGGTCTGCGGCGATCTCAATATAAGTTGTAAACCTCATATGACCATCAGGAAAGATCAAAGGCAACCTTCAAAATTTAATTAACAAGCCGTACGTAGAGCACAACAAAACTGACCAAAAAGTGAAACTTCCAGAAGGTAATATATATTGAAAATAAAATAATTTGCAAGCATAAAGCTCCACAAACTAAAAATTTGATACCAATAACCTTAAGGATCTAATAAATGATGCAGGGTATGAAATGAAAGATGAATGAAATGCAGATTGATAAATGGGCGACAGAGCCAGCCACGGAGATGTAGATGAACAAAACAAAGAAATAAAAGAACTTTAAATCAAAACAGGAATAAAACTAAAGATAGATGGGTGGTTGAGCCAGCCACCGAACAAGATAAAAGAAAGGTACGTGGCGTTGTTAGACCATAGTTAAGCTCGATGATACCAGTGCACCGTTATGGAGCTAGGTCATGGTATTCCAGCCAATATACCTTAAGAGAGAGAGAGAGAGATATGCATAAATGTAAGAAACTTTTATTTATTTACAAGAAAAGTACCTTACAACAGGAGAAGTTTTCGGAATCTTGAAAGAACAGGATTACAAAGAGAAGTCTTTTCCTGAGAATGTCCGAAAACTTAGAGAGATAATGAAAAACTTGAAAGTAAAAACTTGTATTACAAATGAAATGGGCTTTCTTTATATAGAGAAAGCCGACATGAATAGTAACTATGAACAAGAACCGTGAATAGTTAAAATGTACAAGTAAAAGTAAATAGTAACTTACTACGTTGTCTTCACGTGTTGATGAACAAGTAAGACGCCGAAAGCAATTTTGTCTTTATGTGTCACATGGGATGAACAAGTGACATTTTTATTTCCGGAGATAACTGTTTTGTCGACGGATAGGAAATTGCTCTGAATGTGCAAGTTTTGTCTTGGAGTTCATAGGTGGTGAACTTGGAAAAAGATGCCATAACGGTCGTTTTCGTTGTCATTCCCCAAATTTATCATGGGTTCGACTCGAATCCGAATCTGCTATTTGTGAGGAATTTGACTCGTTTTAGACCATCTCGTACATGATGGCGAAGTATTCTTCCTCTCGTTTTCTGCTCTGCAAGTCCGGCATTTACAACGATTTTTGTGCAAGGAAATTTGTTGTTGAGGATAATGGCTTGAGTAATCCTTGTTTTGTAAGCCATTCTTCAATACTGTTTTGGATATGGATGATGGAACTCGAAAAGAGTCCCACCATTTAACTTTGAACTTCGGACGAGGATTAAAGCTCGATTTTGATATTGTGTTTCATAATACCGGGAACAAACCCAAGGAAGGAAGAATTTTGTGCAGAAAAGGAAAAGAGGGGTGAATCTTTTTTCACTTTCCGAAGGTTTGTATTGTGTTTTGAAGAGAGTGTAACTCTCGGTAATTCTTGGAGTGAGTATGTATGGAGTAGGACCAAAGTAGTTCCATCATTGGGTGAACCACATAGGGATGTTTGTAAAGGTGAATTTTGTGTCAAAGTAGAAAAGCCATGAATGACTTCCCTTGCAGCTTTGGAGGAACATAGTATTAAACCATGATTGTCGATAATCCCAGTAGGAGAAAGAACGACGAGTGGTTAACACTTGGTTTAAAATTGTCCGGGAACATAATTTGTAGGGAAAGGTCTTGCCCTAGTCAAAAGGATGGATGATCTTAAGGATTCGACATGTGGAATAGGCGGTTTCGGTTTTGTCGTGGGTAAGAAAGTGTTTGAAGGTGGTCGATTTTGTTTTTTCTAGGATGGCCATATAGTAGGCTTGGTTTTTTGATAAGTCCCAAGGAGTGAAGTGCCATCTAGGAGGAAATAACTTTTGAACAATTTTGTAAGGTTTGTCAAAGAAGTAACCATCTTTAACGGTAAAATTTTTTTGAAAATCTTTTTTGAGAAAATACTCGGATGTGGATTTTTTGTAAGCGAGGTTTTATGAAAACAATCACTCGAGTGTTTTGTGAAGTAGTATTTTGAGAAATAAGTTTTGAAGAATCATTTGGTTTTGAAGAAAGTGGTTTTTCGAAGAAGAAGAACCTTTCTCAAATTTTGAAATAGGCTCAAGATTCATACCCGAGATTTTTGCGAGGCCGGAAGGAGTTCTCGCTGTTTTGTCGGATTTTGGACCCAATTCTCAATAGATTGGGCTTTGATTGGAGTTTCGGTTCTTGTTTTTCTACAGCATCCGCCTAAGAGATGGGTTTTCTTGATGATAAGGGTTTTGGGCTTTCCGGTAAAAGGAGGTTTTTCCCTTTCTTTTTCTTGGCCATCAAGACTTGCTTTGTAGACATTCTCAAGTCAAGAACCTTAAAAGCGATTTTGATAAAATAGATTTTGAAAATGTTTTGGAAAAATATTTTAGATGCATATGAAAATGCAAAATACGATTATGGGGTTTATGAGTTAACTAGTCGGTTATAATGCTCGGGATCGGTAGCGATAATGGCGACGAAAATCACAATATGGGGGTAAAATTTTGTTTTTGATCGAGCCTCTTTGAAGTTCACTATCAAGGTAACGCTCTAAAGAGTTTGTTTTGAAGAGAATATTTTCAATAGCACTAAGTGCTTCATTGATACTGGTCATCTATGAAATCTTCAATGGAATCTATAAGCATACTCTTCAAGAGTTTGAGGAGATCTATCTAAGGCTCTAGCCGTTAAATAATCCTCCGTTTGATTAGTATCTAGACCCACTATGTCCATAATATCTTCTAGGATATCTTTCTCAAGAATGTGCAGTTGATTGAAATCAATAGCTTCCTCTTGGTCATAATGTTCATTCTGTTCATAAAATTGACCCATCCGTAAAGGATAAGTTGGGAAGGATCCTATAAGTTTTGTAGAAGGGGTAATCGGAACTAAAGGAGCACGGAGAACCAAAGAATTAATTTCAAAAATAGAACATGATTTGATAATATTCAAATTCCTAGTTCTAGGTTTTTCAATAAATGGGAAAACAAGTTTTGTACTTTTGGTATTGGAAGATATGCAATCATGCTTCACAGAATAAGGAGCAATGAGATTAATGAAAGGTGTTCCTAAGATCACCATATGATGCATATTCTCAACAAGCGAGAAAATGATTTTTGATAAGCAATGTTACTATTGGCCACGGAGGCTTCTGTCTTACCATATATGATCATTTTAGAATTGTTTCGTCGTAGAAAGACGTTCATTTGTATGCATATGGAATCGTTTTGGAACAATGCTTTGCTTAATACAATTCAAATCAGCACCAAGTATCAAACAAGGCAATTGTATCAATTTTGAAATCATTTTGGAATACAAGAGTAATCTTAATTAAATATTTTCTAAAAGTAACTTCACAAAGAACAAACATGAAATTTTCCGGAACATGTTCCGGGTTTTCAAGGTTTGGCAACTTTTGGTCACCATTATGGTTTTCGAGTCGGATTCTGCTCTTCATCCGTCTGTTTTTCCAACGGGGTTTTCAAGAGACTGGAGTCTCCGGTTTGTTTCTCTTTGAGCTCTTTAAGCTCGTTTTGATGACCTTAATCTCGGATCGAAGGTCCCGAATTGTGGTCATATGTTTTTTGATCTTCTTCTTCCTATCTAGGATAGCAGTGAGGTCATACGTGCTAGTACTAGTAGAAGGTAAGATAGAAGGTTTTGGTTTATCACAAGGACTTTAAGAGTCCGTCTAAGTATTCCTTTTGTAATTGAGGACCA